GGCCGGGTGGCTCACTAAGCACGTTCTCACCAAGGCTGTGCACGACTCGGACTACTATATAAGACTGTCCCCCATGTATCTGTACTCTCTAGTTTGTCCATCTTGCTACCCATCTAGACGTCCTCTCTATATTCTTGTCTTGAACTCGTCTCTACTGTGTGACCCGGAGGTATCTGTCCTAGTGAGCCCCTAGCACTCCCCTTGCTGCCGCTTGGCGCGCTGCTTCGTGTATCACGCTGTAGAGCGGTACTATAGGGTAACAAGGTACGCCGAATATGACTGTGAAGTCCGCTTAGCGATCCGGGGCTTTGTTCTCTACCGGCGGCCACTTCACCCCCACCTGCTCCTCCTCCCCCTCCCCAAAATTGCTGCACCAGAACCAGCGGATGAATCGCGCTGATTTTCGATGCCCTAGGGCTTACATGGCCTGGGAACACGATGCAAGTGAGCGCTTGGCTTTCCCTGTACTCGTTATTGAGTAAGTTCCTTCTCTAGCTCACCTTGCTTGTCACAGCTACATCGGGAAACCACCCCCCCATTCATTTCGCCTCAGCGGATTTTCAGCCGCGGCACGGCCTCAAAAGCCCTCAACCGGCCTCAGCGAGCTTTCAAGCCTAAATGGCCATTTATTCTCCATTCAGCCATGTCGCAAATCGGCTCAGATGTCGTATACGATATATATAGATATAAATATTGACAGGCAACTGGTGCGATATTTATTAACTTCGATTTTTTGGCTTATTTCCAGCATTTTCATTTGGAGCAAACAAATAGTTATCATTGTGGTACATACTACTAGTAGATTACACTGTAGACTACTGGTGGCCAAAATCAATATAGCTAGATACATGGGACCAGTAAAACCCTAGTAAGAACTATCTACAACAAAATGCTCCAATACGAGCGGACGCGACGAACGTCGACTTCGCAGTGGGCCTCACGTAAGGGATGGCGAGCGCGGGGGACGGGCCTGGACTCATCCAGCGCAGAGGACAGTGCCGGAACGATGTAGGCGACCATCGGCTGGGGGGCGCGGCACGACGCACCCTGCCATGCACCTCCAAACCTGGGGGTGTCGAGTAGGACGGTGGCGCTATTGGCGCGTGCAGGGCGCACACACCGTGGTGCGAGCGGAGCGGGTAAAACCCATGCCGAGCGCGTGCCCGGCGATTGCGTTGGCGCGGATAGCGCCGAACGTCTCACCCACCGCCAGCGACCTCGACGTGGTAGCCCGGGGCAATGTGCGTTGGCGCGCGCGACGTGGCGAGGAACGCGGGCGGGGCTCCAGGAGAGGAAGACGCCGATGTCGATGGTCCAACCTCTGGGCGGCGAGGATCCCATCTCGGTCGAAGGCGGCGAGGTCGCTGCCGTCGGGGGCGGGTGCCACCTCGTACGGGATGACCCGCAAGAATGACGGGCGCGCAGATGTGAGGGCGCACACCGGCGCGCGGGCCAAGGTCGTGTTCGCCAGTGAGGAGGGCTCGCCCTGGACGCGTATGCCCAGGGGTCGCGTGCTCCACACCGGCGCATTTTTAAGGCGCGCCTCGGCAGACAAGGGTGGGTGGCTGTTAGGACGGAGGTCGACAGAGGAGGCCGCGGAGAAGGCGGGGGTGAGGGGGCGAGGGGGTGAGGGCGAAGGCGAAGGCGAAGGCGAAGGCGAAGGCGAAGGCGAAGGCGAGAGCGAAGTCAAGGAAACTTGAAGGAAACGAACGACTTGTGCGCGCGCGAGTCGACCCGAGATCGTCACGTGCGCGACGCGTCATCGCCCCGCTCCGACTCGTTCCGAGTTCAACTCCAACCGCCACCACCTCTCCCTCCTTCGCCCGCCCGTCCCTCCTCGCCATGGCCCCACCACGCCCTCGCTCCCTCGACTTCTGCCACGCGCTGGCGGCCCCGCCGATGCGGAGAAAGCTACCTCCGGGCATGTGCGCTCGGGGGCAAGCTCTCCCCACCGGCGGACATCACCTCTGCTCTCGCGGGCCAGCAAGAGCGAGGCCTCTTCTTCCTCGCCGCCCCGCTCCTTCCCGCTTGAAGCACTCGTTCTGGCCGGAGGTCTTCGTCCGCGCGGGATCTGCTTAAGCAAACCCGGCCTTTCCGCGCGCCCGCGTTGGTGACGTGGCGACTCGGCGTGACATTTGCATCCTACGGGTACGCCGCGATTTTATCTGTCTTGCGTCATTGCTTATTGCGGCTTGCAGCCCGGCTAATGGCGAGCTGGCGCAGACTGCGTTTGCGCATGAGCATCGCGCTCGGATTACTTGCACCCGGTATGTGTGCGGCCCTCTCCATGCAAGGTGCGCTTTGGAAAATGGTCGCCTTCATTGGCCTGTTCGCTAACTTTGTTCTTACACAGATGATCATCGTGTACACGTGCGATAGCAATGGTGAGCTGCATGTCAAATCATTTCGACATGTACTGATGTTCGCAAGATTTTGTATAGGGTCTTGTTATTTTTCCCCACTCAGGAAACTCCGCATTCGGTAAGTGGCCCACTCGCCCTGTCGATACTTACTTGTATGCTAACGGTTTATCCAGAGTCGTTGTTCGCTAGTGGTCGGCCTGTTGCAGACATACGCTGAGGGAGGGAGGAATCGTTGTACTGTACCTAGATATCGTTACAATCCTTGTACTTAGTTTAGATTGACTCAATGAAATATTTTTTTCTATATGTTTTAGTTGTGATCTTCGCAGTGTGTGCAAGTGCATTACTTACATTAGGTGAGTGTGCTACGAGTACTCCCTGAGACTCATCGAGCACTCGCTGAGCCCTCGTTGAGCACTCGCTGAGCTCTCGCTGAGCTCTCGGTGAGTTTTCAGTGAGTTTTTGCTGAAATGCGGAAAAAGAGCCAACCTCTCTTTTTCGCGGCTCAAATTGTCTCGGCGCTAAACCATTTTTCAACGAGCCTCGTCGAGACTCGTTGAGACCCTTTGAGTAGGGGGGTGGTTTTCCAGAGTAGGTGTCCATCACACTGTGGGCTTCAGTATTCTACCATTTGATCCTCTATAATCCTATTGACCATCAGGTTAGAATCACTACATGTGCCCACAAGTTTGTACCAAAAAGAATCAGGTATCCTTCTCATGCTATTGATACATAGCCCTTGCCAACCAAAGGGTTTGGCTGGAGCAGTGAGTTCCAAGGGGGCTATATGAGTAACTCTATATAGTACATTTTATTGCATGGGCCCATTAAATTTATGAGAGGTTACATATAACTACTCCTACCTATGGAGTGCTATATGGCACTCTCAACAGTATCAGTACAGTCATCAAGAAATACACTGGGGTTTTCTAGGAAAAAACAGAATAGCCTGGCATTCGAGAATGGCTGCAGGGTAAGCAAAGCGCCCACTTGCATCGTGTTCCCAGGTCATGTAAGCCCTAGGGCACCGAGAATCAGCGCGATTCATCTGCTGGTTCTGGTGCAGCAATTTTGGGGAGGGGGAGGAGGAGCAGGTGGGGGTGAAGTGGCCGCC